AAGTTGAAGGGTCAGAGAAAAAGAGGAAGACCCCCAACAAGATTGATTGGCCAAGTGGCAGCATCAATGGACTTAAGCGTGGCAACAGTAGTGAGGTTGGCCCAGGATCGGGCAGTGTTTCGTTCTGCTGAGCATAAGGTCACTATGGGTTGGTATCGACTCAATGGCACCTAACAACAACAACAACAACAACATTAGCAGTTGCAACTATCACAACTGTAAAGGTAAAAGTTTTGTAACAAAAAGGGGGTAGTAGTTAATCTTACAGTCCAGGAACAAAGGACCTTAGGACCATCAAGGGAGAAGAGCACAAGTGGAATGTGGGACTCTATCCAGAGAAGCAGCAATGCCAGAGATGGAGGCAGAGATGAGGACCTGGAGAGATAGAGCAGCTGAGGACTCTAGACTCATGGAATGAGGAAGGCTGTGTGCTGGTGGCCAGGAGGCAGACTTACAGAATGTGCCCTTTGGTTGTTTAAATGGTAATACATTCCTGAGTGTTTCTGTGAATATCCCCTGCTGTCCCCCACCCCCCCAATTAATCATATCCCTAGCAATGGCATATTCCACAGCCTTCCTTCTCTTTCAGTTTTCCACCATGAGGAAGAATCAATTCCTATAAGGCAACTAGCACCTTCTTTGAAAAGCAGAATATTGGGAGAAACTATATTTGTAACAAAAAGGGGGTAGTATGTTTTTTCATTAAAGATAAACCAAAAATGAAACCTATTGTCATCAAATTGATTCCAACTCATGGTGAAATTGTCAATCTTAACGGGAACAGACAGTCGCATCTTTCTCCCATGGAGCAGCTGATGATTTAAACCACTGGGCTTTTGGTTAGTAGTTCAATTCTTACCCCTTAGCATGAGCAGGGTTCCCTGCTCCTCAAGATTTTGTTGTTATGTGTCATCGAGTCAGGTCTGACTCCTAGAGACCTGTATAAGGTTTTCAAGAGCCGATCCTTGGTTACCAGTCCAGTGCTCATCCTATAGCGCCATACCAGGTTTCATGATAGGAGTAATTTCAATCAAGATATGTAGAAAAAAATATTTTTTCAAAAACTATCATAGAATAAGAAAATGAGCTTACAACCTTCAGATGAGGTGGGCAGGAAACTCAAATAACTCCAGTTTTTCAAAGGCACAAGGGCAGCTGTGTTACAATGTGAACTAAGGATTGTGAACATAAATTCCGCAAACCAATTCATCATTTGTTGAGTTACAACTCTATGGCCGAGAGAGTCTTCCAGCCATTCCCATGTAGGATAAGCATCTCACATTTTCCTGGCAACTTAAATGAAAAAACGAAACCCACTCCTAATGATGATATCTTTCCCAACACAAGATGTTCATTTCCTGTGGATAACATGTGAGTGGAAATGTCCTCCTTATAAAGCAATTTCATTTCTTAATGCATCTGACACTTTACTGGTCATAATGAACCCAAGTTGTCACCTGACTTACCTCATCTCTGCGGAACAATCTAAGAAACAGCATGCCTCTCAAATCGTAAGTAATGGCATGGAATTCTCCCCTGAGACCCTAGGATCATTCCTATGAAAGAGCTGGTTTGGGGATTCAGGCACTGGCCTGAGTAACCAAAGGCCTTTGACAGAGGACACACTATCAAACAAAGGACTGAAAAGGGTATCCTTGTGACAAGACCCAAGAAGAACTTCTAGTGCATTGAGGAACCAGAGTAACTGTACATTGGTCTTAAAGCCTCCACTCAATTGTAAGCTTTATGAAGGAAGGAGCCATGCAGGTACTGTTAACCATAGTACGCATCCACGGTATTTAGCATATGAATGCCACCCAATAAAGAATCACTGAATGAATTCATATTCTCATTTCATCTATAAATTCTAAATTAATGCCTAAATAAGGAAGTGAAATATATTTACGCTTTGGAATGGGGCAAACTTAATGGACTGGGAAAATGAGACTTTCCTAACTCCTGAGGATACTTGCTTTTATTTTTAATAAAAATTAAGCGACAATAACTTTAAGCAGTGGGAATTCAACTAAGAAGTCAAACTGTTGTTGTTAAGTGCTGTCGAATAGATTCCAACTCATAGCGACCCTATATAGGGTTTCCAAGGAGTGACTGGTAGGTTTGAACCACTGAATTTGTGGTTAGCAGTCCAGTGTTCATCCTATAGTGTGCAACACCAAGACTTCAGGAAGTAAAAAAGGTCCTTGTAAATGCTCTTCCTAACCAGACAGAAATAGCTGTTAGGTCTGAAAGGGTAGTTTATAAGGTATATAAAGTGAGCCCTGATAATATCTGAGGCTCGCCACTATGCATAGCACACACACAAGGAACACAAACCAATTAATCTCTCTTCTCCTGAAGATCATCCAATAGACTGGCTATGAAAGGTTCATTTATTTATTTCTATTGCCCCGCCTACCCTTCTGCTGGAGTCCTGGTGTGGCACTGTAGGACAATCACTGAACCTCAAGGTCAGTTAGAACTGCAAGGTGGTGATTCAAACCCACCAGTCAAACCTCAGAAACCCTACAGGGTTGTTATGAGTGAGAACCGACACAGAGACACTTAACAACAACAACCCCAATGCCATTGAGTCAACTGTGACTCATAGTAACCCTGTATAGGGTTTCTGAGGCTGTAAATCTTTACAAGACCAGAAAGCCTCATTTTTCTCCCTCAAATTGGTGGTTTTGAACTGCGGGCTTTGCAGTTAGCAGTCCAGTGCTTATCCTACTGTGCCACCAGGAATCTTTTTATTTTTTATTGCCAGTATCTATGATTTCTGACAAATTGGACTCCAAAAGCCCTTTCTGAGTTAGCGACTGCAGACTAAGTAGATTCTTGCCAATATTTTCTAAATTTGTGATGTACTTTCTTGTAGGATGATATAAAAAATTAATCTGGTTTCAGAAGACAAGACTAACCAATATTTCTTAAAAAACAGCCTCTTATAACTCACCTGCTAAGAAATTCATTCTTCCTAACAACAGTCCACAGCCAGAAGATGAAGTTATAGAATAAGTCAGGAACGAAGGAAGAAAGTGACAGAGAAAGGGAAAAAGATATAATATCAAAAAGTATGACAATGGAACAACAACAACAAAATTAGAACATTTCCAGCATGCATCCATTGACAGTGTTAGTAACAGAGTAACAAGGCATATTGTTAAATGAAACAAGAATTTACAGAGGAGAATTTTAGAAGTTAAAAAAAAAAATGAGCTTATAAATACATGCACATAGCTTAAAAAGATTTGCTGCAAAAAAACACAAAAAAACCTTTCAAACATATCTTTTCACCAAGAAAACAAGGAGCATAAAACAAACAAGGAAGACTATATCTACAAAGCATTCGTTTTCCAAACAGGCAGTCAACTAAGTTTTTAAGAGCTAAAGTTTGTGATATGCCATTAAATTATTTGAAACACAGCTCCTCAAACTTTATTAGAAGTTTCTACCATTCTACATCTCTCTCCCCTACTTAGTTAAGCCCAGTCACTGAAACTGTTTTTCACACTTTCCACTAAGTCTTTCTCATAAAATAGGCTTTAATGAATGCATAAGTAGGAATGTCTTAAGTCTTTCCCACCCTCCAACTGCAGCCAGTCTTAAAAAAAATTTTTTTTTAAATACCTGGCTTTATAAAGGGGACATATCATGTTTTATACTTAGGCTATACACAGCACAATGCCCACTCTTTATATAGATCCAGAGTCTTACAAAACAATGCTCCCAGAGCACTCAGGCTTCCTGTAGGGGCTGACCTTGTAATAAAACACCAAAAACAAAGAGGATCCTGCAGCTGCCTGTGAATGAACAGCAGCTGTGCCCAGAATTTAGTGTCTAGTGAATGTGCAACAAGTTTTTTTCTCTATTGTGTAAAAGGACTAGTAAGTAGACTAAAAATCCACCACTGTATAGCTATAAATCCAATCATTCTTAAAGATGACTGACAATGACTTTTCAATATTTGCTGAAAACAAAAACACCACACAAGGAGGTTGCCATACCTTTCTTGGACTTTCCTGCATTTAACAGAAGACAAAAGGACAAAGATTTCATTCATTCTAAAGCTTACAAAGGGTTATGTTGCATGTTACACAAAAGCCAATAACCATTACAACTTTAGGAGTGCATTTCTCGGACTCTCTGCTTTAGACTCTACTTTCCAAGACATCTGTATGTGGGATTCATGTTGTAGGTTCTATTAAAGCAGTGCTGATTGAGGAAGGCTGATACTTACACCATTGTCCT